GGCCCCCCGCGGGAGGGGGACGGCGGGGAGGACGGCTCTGGAGGGGGGCGAGGTGGCCGAGCGACGTGAGGGCCGGGAACACGGCGGCCCCGAGGGCGGGCGGCCCCCGGCCGGGCCCTGCCGGCACCCGCGGGGGTCTCCCCGCGCAGGCCGGTGGCTGCAGCTCCAGAAGGGAGGGCGCGAGCGACAGCTGCCTGCCCCGAGCGACATGCGCAGAGCACACCGATAGTAGGCACGGGAGGGCCGGTATCACACGCGTGGGTTGGACATGAGCCTTTTCTGAAAATCATCTGCATATTTATTTATGTCTGTATGTGCTGCGGGAAGGAGTAACTCCAGTCTTGCAGTAACACACGGGCTGGTCTTAATCTGTGAGGTGCAGACTGGCAGCAGCACTGAAATCAAGCACGGGAATCAAAAATAGCACATAACCTGCCCGCAAAATGCAGCGGGGTCAAGTTCTAGGCACTGGCAGTTATCCAAAGAATGCTGTTAGAGAAGTGCTGCAGCGCAGCTGGGATGATAATGAAAACTAGCAGCCCAGAATAATGAAGTGAGTTTAAAAAAAATTGACCTTGGTTCTGTGAAAGGAGAATAGAAAAGTGGGAAACCAGAGCTACCGCAAAATGCTGAGTGGGGTAAAAAAAATGTCAAAACATACCAGTACTGAATCAAAAACTTTGCTTTCTGTGGTGCAAGCAAGGGGAATACTCTGAGGAATCATTTTGTCACCTCAGTAGATTTTGGCATCGGGCCCGTAGCAGAACAGGACTGGAAATCAGCTGGATTTCTGAACAGTCTTCATATTTCTAAAGGCTTATGGTACTTCCTTATTATGCTTTTACAGCCTAATCCTGTAACTTTGAATTATAATTTTTTGGTTTTATCCTGCCTTACTAAGCAAAAGTAAGAAAACAAAGACTTGGCTGCTTGTATGGTTGGTTTCAGCTCCCTCCAGATGTACAGCAACAGTAAACAGATTGATTTCCTATAAACTGCCATCTGCGTTCTCCTGATGTTCATGAGAAAGTGCTGACAGTCTGCTTTTCCCCAGAAATAGCCAGTGGTTATAGTGTAGCCTTTTCCTTCTCACTAGAAGGTTTCAAAAAAATTGCAAAACTGATGAGAAATCTACTTGTCAGAACTTTTTCCACAGTTACTAAAGGCATACTTTTTTTTTTTTTTTTTAGGCTTAAATACAAAGTGAATAAGAATGTCAATAGTCACAGTCCAGCTTGGTCAATGTGGTAATCAAATTGGTCGTGAGGTGTTTAATGCCATCTGCAGTGATGTCCATGGCACACATGGGTTGTGTTCCAAGAAGGAGAATGAATCCTACCGTGATGCTTGCAAAGAACGTTTTTTCTGCGAGGAGGAGACTGAAGGTCCAGCATTTAAGTGTTTGTTTCCACAGATGGTCTGGTTTCCAGCCTACATACAGATAAGAGTACAGAAATAATAAAAGTCCTTTACCTTTAGTCTTGAAGAATTGTCACAGCCTATTTTCAGTCTTGAAGAACTGTCACAACCCTCTGCTTTCACGACATTGCTAACAACCATGGAAGCAAAATCAGTGTAGTAAAGTGTCAGACCCCAGAGCAAGTCTGCCAGTAACACAGCCAGGAGCTGAGCATAGATGCATCCATAATCTGTCCTTCCAAATGTCTGTGTATTCTGCTGTAGATAGATCATACCACGGAGTAGGACCCAGAGTATCTGAATTTGGTGTTATCAAATGCATTAAGTGGTTTCTTTCCTGAAAGATCTATGGTCTCTAGAGTTCAGATTTGTCTTTGCAGCAATAGATGGTTTGTCAGAAGTCCAGGGCCTTACCAAGTCCCTTCTCTGCCTGTACTGTCACATTAACAGTTCAGCTTATGCAGGTGGGAGGAATACAACTTGGGCCATGGTGCAAGTCCATCCATCTTCCCTAAACAAGTTCTAATATTGGCACGTTATTCTTAGTTTTGTTTTTCTTCCTATCCAGTACCTGTTGCCCGAGCTGTGCTTGTTGACATGGAACCTAAAGTAATCAGCCAAACCTTATCAATGGCCGCCAGGTCTGGCTACTGGAAATACGACGATCGGTCACGCTTCTGTCAGAAGCAAGGGTCTGGGAACAACTGGGCAAATGGGTATGAACAATTGTTTCAGGCTTCACTGAGGAGGCTAATGAGCTGTCTAGACTCTCCAGGTGTGGCACTATTGCAGCTGTGTGAGGTACAGAGTATGTCACATTAACCTGATTTAAGTTAAAGTAGCAGTATATAGAGCAGCGAAATTTCTAAACTGCTTTTTGCAAGGTGAAGTGGGTATTTACACTGAAAATGTAACATTTTAGAATCGAGCGACTATATTTGATTTAAGAATAGGAAACAATAAGGAGAGTTTATAAAGAGCTGTTTTACAAAATGTCACAGCTGAGGATCGTTTACTGCAGATAGAATGGATGACATAACGTGAGGTTATACAAATAAGAAAATTATGCTTTATGAATAGATTTCTGCTTTTATTTTGATATAATCTGCCACGTTTCACTGTTTTTTCTGTTACTCAACAGTTATTCTGTTCACGGGCCTAGACATAAAGAAGTAATAATGAATCTGGTGCAAAAAGAAGCAGAGAAATGTGATCGCCTCGGTGGATTTTTCACAATAATGAGCATGGCTGGTGGTACAGGATCTGGCCTGGGAGCGTTTGTGACCCAGTGTTTAAGGGATGCTTTTCCAACCTCTTTTATACTAAACCATGTGATCTGGCCCTACGGCACTGGTGAGGTGAATGTTGTATTTCCCAGAGATACTCTACAAGTTTATAATCACTGTTTATTTTTAAACATCAAATATATGCAACCAAAATATGCTAGAAAAGAGGTACATTTTACTTTTTTAACATAACAGCAAGTAACACAGCTAATTGTTTGCCTAATTTCCACCAAAAAAAACCCCAAAACAACCTTGATAATAAAAGTGCTGAAGTATAATGCAATTTCATGAGAACGTCTATTAACTAACTAGAAATCTCCCATTATGACAGAATCTCAGCATTACAATCAGCTCCCAGACAGATTTTATTCTAGCATATTTGTAGGAAGTGAGATGGATAACATGATTTTCACAGGTCTTGCTCTCTTTCCATGAAAACACTCTGCTAGATCTTGACCTCATTCTGCACTTTGGCAAAGAAAATGAATCACTTCCTGAATCATAACTGAGGAAATGACAGTAGCCAGAGGATGATAAACTAGAAACAGATTAAGTTGTTTGACTCTCATTTGTGTGTATTTTTTGTTTGTTTCCAGGTCATTGTTCAAAACTACAACTCTGTTTTGACTCTGTCACATCTGTACCAGTCATCGGATGCCATTCTTGTTCATGAAAATGATGTCATCCACAAGATCTGCTCTCAGCTGATGAATATTAAACAGATCTCCTTCAGGGATGTAAATCAAGTCATTGCACATCAACTGGGGAGTGTTTTCCAGCCCACTTACACAGCAGAAGGGGGCTTACACTACAGCAGAAACCCATTAGGTATCTACCACAGAGCTGCCTAATGCATCCTCACACATCTTTCTGTAATCACTTCATGTTGTGAATTTAAGTTCCTCAGTCTCCTTACTCAAGCATTCGGATACATCCCAAGTTTTAAGACAGCAAAAGACCAAATTAGAAGTTCAGTCCCAATTTTGTAGCAGAGTCAAAAATAGATTCCCCCAGCTTCTGGTTTAATTCTGTGCCAGAAGAACCCTGTTTCTCCTTTTTTTCAAATGATTATAGACACCCTTGTACCTATGTACACATTTCAGAGGAAATTTATGCAGGATGTTAATTTTGGACTGGGTTTTACTTTTCACATTAGGATAGAAGTTTGTATAAACTGAAACAAAAATGAAAGTGTTGTGTTTTGCTCAGGCAGAAGACAGGCTAGCATACAACTTGGTAGCAACAGGCTGACAGCTGCATCTTTAAGGGATTAGAGAAAGCTCCCTCTATTGCCAAGAGTTTTGCTTGTAAAATTAAACTCTCACATCTGTCAATCTCTTTAGCAGTGCATAGGATCTTTGAGATTTTGAGCCAGACAATAAAGCAAGACAAGTCTAAAAAGAGCTACTGTCATGTTTGTGTAGAACTCAGTAGGATGTGTGTCCATATATTTGTCAAATTAAAACTTAATAGATCCAGCTTTGTTTCTTACCTTAAATTGCTAGATCTTTATAAAATTCCCCACTCTCTTCTCCTATTTTAGCTAGCCTACGCAATATTTTTGTCCAACATGAGCAGCTGTTAATTTCTTCTTTCAGGAGACTTAATGGAGACATTAGTTCCACATCCTGAATTCAAGATGTTGGGTCTTCGTAACATACCTCAGATGCCTGAAAACTCCCTCGCTTATAGCACGTTCAGTTGGCCTGGACTCATCAAACATTTGAGGCAGATGCTCATTGCTAATGCTAAAATGGAGGAAGGTAAAAAGCATTCACACATTTTCCGTATCCATCACTCTTTAAGCGTTTATTTTTACAGATGAAATAAAGTTTATTGTTTTGTGGAGCTCGCTGCCTAGCTCTAGTCAGTTCAGAAAGGACTTTCTGCCCTCAAGACAGCAGGAATTTGCCTCCACAGTGCCAGCTGCTCCTTTAACTATTCACTCAGCTGCCACAGCAGCTCCTGCCTTGCTCCCAGACATCTCAGTTAATTATAACTATTGAAAATATGCAAAACAAACCAACAGTTTTTGGCCGTGCGCTTAATTTACATGATTCATTTAGAACATTCCTTGGATAGTTCTGCTATGCTTTTACTTTTTACACCTTCTAATAAAAACCATGCTTAGCTCTCCCCTATCATTTACATGGGGAATTCAGTATAGCTTCCAGTTATGCAAAGAATGGGCTGGCAGGCTGCTAAGTATAGAAACGAGTATCCATTTTCTCTGGTAAGACTAGTGACTACCAGGCAAATACTGCTGGATTAACACTGGTTTTCTCTAAGAATTGTGTAATTGCTGCTTAACTAATTGCAGAAACTACAAACCCTGCTATGATGTCAGCTTGGGGCACAGTGTTACTTACCATCTGACTCTTTAGCTAGTCTGAATCCAGGTTTCATGAAACACTTTGCTTTTATCTTTTTTTTTTTTTTTTTTCTAAAATCTCATAGGTATCGATTGGCAAGTACAACCACCACGTCTAGGCTCCTCCCTCCCCTCCAGCCATTCCACCAACAGGCCCCTGCACTTCAACACTTCCATTGCCAACCTGGTTATCCTGCGAGGAAAAGATACCCACGGCGTAGACTTAGGTAAGAAGGGAAAACATACTACTTCAGTGATTCGTGTTTCACATCTCACTGTTTTCTTTGCAACCATATCTGATGAAAGTGAAAAAACCCCAAGGCCACATATTTGACTACTAAGGTTGATCTTCACCCTAAAAACATTTTAAGTCCAAGGCCATGTTGTCTAATTGCTCAGGGCTGCTGTATTTGCAGCCAAGACTTCTGTGTTTCCTGAAGCACTTCAGGGAAGTAGCAGTAGACTGAAGTCCATATATATGATAGGATTCTTGGCTGTATTCTCTGAAAATATATTTAACCACTTCTGGAGTGATGAGCATAGCTTGCAGATGAAGTACTGTCACAAGAGTATGCTTCCAGATAATCTAATAGAAGCTGTTTAAAGCAGTTATATTTTCAACAGGCTGACCACTTCACAGATTTTTTTTCAAGGCCTGAATTGATCTGCCAAGCATTGACTAGGTCACGCAGGACTACCGAGATCAAGATGTAGGAGCCTGGAGCTTCACGTTTGTCATAAGGGTTCTCTTATTTCTGCTACAGGAAGTTTCCAAGATCCCTCATTATACACATCGTGGCTAAACCCTCGGGATGCTTTTAATGCGTGGAAAACACCCAGAGCATTTAACAAGTATGAAAAGTCTGCTTCTTTGGTCAGCAATAGCCAGTTCCTGCTGAAACCTCTTGACAATGTTGTAGGAAAAGCTTGGAATATGTTTGCTTCCAAGTAAGTGAAAATAATTATGGTGATACTTCATTAATAACTGCCAATATCTTCAGTGGTAGCAAAATCATTCTAAGTACAGCTCACTCTTTCAGGAAAGTAATGGTGAATAAGCGTGGAAACATTTTTATGCTTGAAACATGATGGCAGGTGAGGAATACAGAACAGTGCTTATGTTCTGTGGATATATGAGACCAGAGATTCTAGTGCTGTCAGTCTGACTATTTTCTCAGTATTAAAACTCCCTAAATTTAGTGCATTCCAATGTGACCATTCTAAAAATAACACATAGAAACTCTTTTACTGATCATACAGTTTCTAAGTTGTGTACAGGCATGCTGCCCTGTCTGGGGAAAAATGTTGCTGCGTCAGTTCAGAAGCATTCAGGGGATCTGTGTGTTTACTAAGGCTCCCATGCTATTGGCTTGATTTTTCATTAGAACCAAGAAATCTAGAAAAAGAATTGCCTCTTTACTTTGATCATCATGAAGCCAAGGTTACTGCATGTCACAGCAGATGCCTGCTAAACATGAGTTTCTAGCCCAGGAAATCTGCAATTAAAAGTGAAATGAGGAAACCTGCTGTCCCTAGCTGTGCTCTGGGTTTTACCACCTGTTAGAAAAGTACCAGTGATGAGAAGCCAAGCTAGCCTGCACACACAGGTTTAGGCTTTGATCTCTGTAAAGTACTTTTCTCATTTATTAATCCCTTTTCTTTCCATTTCACAGCTAGTCCAATTTTGTTCGCTGCAATTTTGTTCCCTTAAGCAATACACAAATTTATAAAACCTATTAGAAAAGATTGGAAGGGACCTTAAAGATCACCCAAGTTCTCACCCCCCTGCCGTGAGCAGGGCCACCTTCCACTAGCCCAGGTTGCCCAAAGCCCCGTCCAACCTGGCCTTGAACCCTTCCAGGGAGGGAGTAACCACAGCCTCTCTGGGCAGCCCGTGTCAGCCCTCACAGGGAAGAATTTCTTCCTTAGATCTAATCTGCATCTCCCCTCTATCAGTTTAAACCCGTTACCCCTCATCCTATCCCTACACCCCTGATCAGTAAGTATGAATAACAAAACGAGTTCAAGAGAGCACAAACTAACCAGCACAGTTATTGGGTGGAAATCAATCTTCATTTGAAGTTTTTACAATAGCTATACAGTCTGATTTCATGTGTCAGATTCTTCACTATTTTCTAATGTCTTACCCATTTTCCTACTGTGACTTCACCACACAGAGCGTACATTCACCAGTACACTAAATTCGGAATCGAAGAGGAAGATTTCCTGGACAGCTTCACAGCTCTGGAACAAGTGATCTCCAGTTACACCATCCTTTGATTATTTTTTTTTTTTTTTAAATACTCTGAAGTAGAGCTTTCCTGAAAGAACCCAGTGCTGGAAAACCTTCCATCAGCTTCCTGAAGTATATAAATTACTGGACTGTAGCTATTTTTGTCTTGTAAGCAGTACTGAATCCAAAATTAATATATTCATATAGGCAGGTATTATTCATTTTTTATATATATAATAGCTATTTTTCAATACACTTGCTATGTACTGTAGCTGAGTCTCTGAACATCATTTCTGGCACTTGGATACTTTTCATAAAGTCTATACAATGGGATTCTTTTCCAGGCTAAACTCTCATCATCTAAACTATCATGAACTAATGTGTGATAAAAATTGTGTGCTTGGCTACAGTAATAAGGCATCCCCGATCCTCCAGTTTCAATTTTTCATGATAACACTTCACCCTAAGAATGCTTCAATATTGATAAAAATGAACAGTATCAGAATTATTAATCCAAACTCCGTTCAGGTATCATTCAACATACAAATAGTGTGCCACCTGTTTCTTTAAAGCAAAGTAGGACATAAATTCTATTTGAAGGACCTTAACCTTAAGAAAATAGTGGAAGTTTTGAACCATCTTTTAAAAAAAGGTATGAAGGTTTCTTCATTTTTCTGTCATCCTCAAGTTACATTAGAGATTGTAATGAGTTATGTGCTTTTCTGGCCATTTCACTGTGCTGTGTTTTCAACTGGTGTTACCTACCACTTGGGATAAAAAAAAAAAAAAAAGTCCTTGCAGCAATCAGAGGTCTTGGCTATTTATTATAGGCAAACCAGGTTTAAGAAAAACTACCAACTCTTGCTCTTCTTCCAGTAAGTTAGAAGCAGGTAGGTTTTTTTAAATCAATTTTTTATTTAAACATATTTGGGAGGAGAATTGCTGGTAGATTTCAAATGTAAGAACTTGTATTATAATAAATTTTATAATTTCAAATGTCGATTTAAGAAATGGGCTGGTTCTTGCACAGATTTTACCACGACCACAAGGTGGTGCCCCTGGGAAGCTCCAGCCTGCAAACACTCGGCTGCACCAGCCTGATAGGAGGAAGAGATCGGAGTAGTTCGTGGGGGCACAGACTAGATGTTTATAAAATAAAAGGTTACAGTAGAATTCAGGATAATGTTCCAACACTGAGCTTTGTTCTGCTTCTGTTAGCTTTTCACTTAATGGGAGGGAGAGTTTTTGGAATTCTTGCCACTCCTCCCCCTTCATCACACTGTTCTCCCACAGAAATAATCCCACTCACTCTTAAATAGGTATGCCAAAAATAGGAGTGAAAAAATCAGTCTCAAGGACTTCCCTTGACAAGTGGGCAAATCTCATCGTTTCCCTTCAAGTTTTGGTGCTGTTTCATGCCAGGCTTCTGAGCTTTTAACTAAAAAGATGAGCACGCACATAGTATGATGCTAAATAAGATAAAGATGTTTGCAATATGGCTAATGATGCCCACAGAGAAATCTTACCCTGTCAGACATTCTGATTTAGATTTTAAATCCTTAATGAATTAACAGTGGTAAAAGTAGAAGTGACCTTATACTTCTGCTAGGCTTCAGTTAGAGCACAGCTGGCACTCTGTATTATTTTTACCTTTATTTCCTTTCCTAATTTCATTTACCTCTTCACTTTCGTTCAGGTCAGGTACACAGGCACTAAAATCCACTCCTGGAGCACCTGTGGCAGCTCTGGCACATGACACCTGGAATAGCAAACAGACTTCTTGACAAGATTCAAGTAACTATGATTAAATCTGAAGAAAATAAGTAAGTACTGAGGCTAAGTTCTCAAATTGCTCAGATACACCCACAGTAATGGTTGTGTCAGTGCAAGCCTCGATGGATGCTGATAAATTTCATGGTAGTTTATAGACAGGCGATGTTAATCTCATGCCTTCAAAAAAAAAAAAGTTTCAACTGCCTGTTAGTGGTAGGGCAACCTTCAGCACACATTAAAGTTGAGTCTAGTCCTAGTTCATGCAGAGAAATGACCTATGTAAATTCGAAGTTATATTGGTGTTTCAATTCAATAGCTAAATCATTAAACATACAGGGGAAAGAATCATCCGTGGGGAGAACACAAGAGGAGAGGCAAAGTGGAGAAAGCAGATAGGGTAAATACACCCAATAACTTGCAGAAAGACACTTGACATTTATGACAAAATATTTTGACGTTTTTCTTGCAGAACACAGTACATACTCCAACAACTCGGTCTGGTTTGCTTTCTGTTTTCACTCAGCTCCACTAATTCATTTTAGGAACTCCCTCTCAAAAGGGGAAGACACAATAATCATAGTTCAACTCTTCAGCCATACTTCAAGCCCCACACTGCTCAGTAAAATTTCAGTTATTTGGAAATTCAAAACTGCATATAATTTCTGCTATAGAATATTATTTGCCATTTCCACACACACACAAAATCACTTCCTGACAGCTCAGAGCTAGGGGACTGTTGTGATCAAAAGGGCTTTTCTCAATTTCAACAATTGTCTTTAGCTTGGGTATTTTCACAGAAGAAACGGGAGGAAAGATTGCACAAGAAGTTAAGATAAACAGCACAGGCAATTCAAGTTTGCAAGGAACAAAGGGTCAGGAAAGGAGACGGTATGGTGAAGTTTTCCCTCCTCCCTCCTTCAAAAGGTACAGGATGTTCAGCAACATAGAAATAAATTTTCCCTAGTGTTTTCAAGAGATACCAGACTGAGAACTTCTTCCAGCATCCAAAAAGAGAATAGGTAATTTCACCTCTAAACAACCAACTCCTAGAAATGCAGACTCTTCCTCATTGTTCCACAGGACAAGTAAGAGATTTTTAAAAAGCTAAGGACAGATAAATCCTCTCAGAAACAAAGAGCAATGGTTTATTGTACTGCTATATCAGTAGGTAACTTGATCGCAGAAATAATCTCACGTTACCTCTATGTGTTCATAATTCTGAGCATGAAGCAAATAGAGCAGGCACTTATTGCATCTGTGAATGATATAGACCCCTTTATCCATTCTGTAAAGGGACTTTTATTATTTATAGTTTATGTCACTTTTGGTTAACAGAGCAGGATAATTGGGTTTTTTTGGTTAAGTTCGATGGCAAAATTTGGGTCATGTCAGGAAATGCAGCACACAGCTAAGATGTATAACCCCAAAGAAAAAATAAAAATATCCTTATTCAATCTGTAGTTATAACATATCAAAATATAGAGGAAAGCTTCTGCAGCTGAAAGACAGAGCTAGACCAACAGATTTGTTAACTGCTTAAGGAGGATACTTCTATAAGAGCTTGTTCAGTCTGGATTTAGGGAAAATACTCCTAGTTCCATGGGAAAACAAGTTTTTTAGAGCAGCCATAGAGGATCACAACCATCAGCTAAATTTTGACAATAAGATTCCTCAAAACAAAAAAAAAAAAAAAAAAAAAGAAGAGAGGTGAGAACAAACGTGTCCCTGTTGTATTAGCTGTTCTAATTCCTTTCATTGCTCTGGAGAACAGACTGACAGGAATTGGTTTAGGTATCTCTAGGGTTCTTCCTGTTAGTGTTTTTCACTGCTGACCTCACTTCTGAAATTCTCACACCCTTTCCCAAACTAAGCCTTCGGTTTTGATCTATGGCTGGATTCCTCTATTTTTTTCCCCAGGATGTGGAGAGGGTCAAAGCGACAGGAAGTGAATAGCTATTACCAAATATTCATCATCTACAATTATTTTAGAAGATGAAATAGTAATTTTCTATTTTATTGATAAAAATAATAAAGTAGATAAGTCAAAGCCTGGAAGAGGGCCTTTATTTCATTAGAAATTAATTTTAATGAGGTAGATCAAAGGTCAGCAGAAGCCAATGGCTCACTGAGGCAGGAACAACAATATCAGTAGCCTTGACCTAGCTAGTTTTAGGCAAACTACCCACAGGATGTCCATAAACCATGGAACAATGCATCAAATCTCACTATTGTTTTTTGTAATGGACAGGTGCAGCTCACTTGGAAGTTGATTCAAGGACTCTAACTATAGCAGACATATTTATGAATGGGATTAACTTGTATTTGGCCACCAAAAAAAAAACCCAAACCAGGAACAAAAATTAACCTGTTACAAATACTTTAAACATATAGTAACTGTCTGGCAAGCTACAGAGCACTAATGTAGTTATAGATACACTTTATTGGTGCTTGTAAGGTTAGACTGACTACCAGTATAGAAAGGATAGAACCTCAGTGTAAATATATAAGGGGTTTTCAGGAGGATTACCTGCACAGATCTATCAAACTGAAACAGCACAAGATTGAGGACAAAAAAAAAATCTGTGGTTTCCACAACATCCAGGATTTTATCAATGAGAAGGAATTTATATTCAAATTACCAGCTGATACACTACTGGGAAACATTAAGGTACGAAAGGCTATTGAATGAATAATTAATTTCCTTCTTGTTAATAAATTTACAGTAGATAAATATTATGAAATGAAGGACCAAACATTCTCAGATGCCCAAGTGTACTTTACAGAAGTCTGCATTTTGCTGGCCACCACTTCAAAAACTGCACAAGAGTCATCAGGAATGTGATTCATGGATGTGATAGGGTACAAAAAAAACTCACAAAAGGAAGAGAGCTGCTGCCCTCTCTCCACTGCTTTCAAGGGCAGCCCAGACACAGCTTCACAAGGCAGCAGATTCCAGTGGGGGCTTCCTCCTGGAGCCTCCTGCCTCTGGGCTTCCTACCCCAGCTCTGCCCGTGCTCCACGAGCCAGCCCAGACACTCAGACAGCCTTTAACTCGCCTGGATGTAGATCTGATAATCCTGAATTTTAACTGTAGAGCCTTTCCGGCTTTTTCAGTCAAACTCGAAGTTCACAATGGTCCCTTCTGATTTCACATTGTATGAATCCTCTCCCTCTAGACAGCCACTTCCCCTCTATCCGGGTGGGGTAGTGAGTCACTTACCTCCGTGATTCAGCAGAACCTGCTTAACCCTTTCCCAGAAGCAGGAACAGCTGCAAGGAGGGTGGTGTTTCAGACAAGTGTTATTGCCAACCCTAGGGACCCCCCGGAAAAGGTAAAGATAGCCCAAGATACAAGATTAGAGAAGCTGCTTCTGCTCATTAGGAAATTCAAAGGCAATTGTTAGAGGTATAAATGTGTTCCATGATAAGAGATCATGGAAGAAGTCTAAACCTTAACCCCATGGGTCATACAAGCCTGAAAGATTCTAAACAGTGACTTCTAACAATCTAGTGGTAGAAAACAAAGGCACAAGTCCTCTGTACTTAGCTGTGTGAAATCAAGACTGCAGAAACCTTGTCTATTAGTCTTAAAAGTAGAATTTTAAGAACACTGGATATTACACCAAAAGATAGAAAAATAAGTAAAATGACTATGCTCTCTAGGCCAAGATTCCTATTTTAAAAATAAGAGCAGTAAGTAGAGAAATTAACTAAAATAAGCCACCGGTTAATGCAAAAAAAAAGACAGAATAAACATTGCTTGAGCTTTAGTGAGCTATGAGCTTTCTCACTAGTTATACATGATGAGGAATAAATACCATCTTATATGGTGTATTTGCATTTAAATGGGTGTGTTCTGCAAAAATGATTATTGTACATATTTGGTTACATGTGCAATGTAATGTTTACTTAAAGGCTCACAAAAATATACTTCAGTTGCCTGAGAATGGTGTAATTGTGGTCAGATGGCATGATTTAATTTGAACTTTTGCCCAGCAGTCTCCAATATGTAATAGATCATTCACAGGAGCATGTAAGCAGAACACGGCCGAAGGAGCCAAATGGAAAGGAGCCTTATCCCACACGCTGAAGGTGTAATAAAATACTCTGAACTTGGCTGGCAAGGGCAGCTGTAGCTGTTCATTATAATATCCTCAGTAAGTATGGTGAGAGCTGGGCAGTAGTTCAGAGCTACTGCTCTCCAGATGGCTCAGAACAATACTGAGTTCAAGAATACATATTTCCATGTAAGACTGCTTGCTGCTGGCTGTCAGGCATTTCTGCCACTTGCAGAGAAAACACTGGATTTCCTCCCCACCCCACTTTGGGCAACTTCTGCCTGTATCACTACCTGATTCTGAGTCATCTAGTCAGCAACTGTGTTTGTCGTTATCTGACTTTGTAAACCAGCAATTTCTCCTTCCTAGGCTGAATTTTGGTGAAGAAAACTAATGTAACTATTAAAACTTAACTGTTAAAAACATAAATTTGGCAACTGATGAACATAAATCCAATTAAATACTCTTTTCCCAAGAAGAAAGCTTCCATTCCCTCCCTCCCAAATATTAACTCAGGCTTTCACATTATTTTCCTCTATAAAGATTTAGTCAAGCTTTTCCACAACACAGGTATTTTCACAGTGAATTATTCTTCTACAAAAAGTACATACAAACCTGTGAAAGGGGAGTTTATTCTTCGATTACATTAAAAAGGAAACGTGAACTGGCTTTAGTACACATGGGGTTCTGTTCAAGCTGAACAAAACTCCAGTCAACAGGCCTGAACTTGTCCAAATATCATTAAGCACCAAGGCCAGACAGGGCTACCGGAAGGACCAAGAGACATTGGTGACAGTTTTAAGCTAGAACTCTCAGGATTAGGTCTGCCAAACAACAATTAAAACACTCCTTATTCATTTAATTGGAATGATCCTCTCTCAGCCACAGCTGAGCTGTTTTGCCAAAGGATAGCACAGCAGATTTCCACACTTCACTTAGAAACACCAGGCTCCTCCTGGGCAGCCATAACAATTCTAGCTCATGCACAAACGCTGCAGTGTGATTTGCCCACACTGTTGGGTTTAACTTCTGGTTCTTGTTAACAACAAGTGGTTGTGCACTTGCAGAAGTGTTTAAAACAGAAGTTAAAGGAGGCAACAGAATTAAAATCACCAGTTTTATTAGCATAGATCGAGTAGAAATACTGCTTTGAAACTTTTTGGCATCCATCACTTCGAGCTTCACTAAAATACCAGCTTCAGACATCTTTAAAGTTTCACTTTTCCTGCTGCTCCCCACCTAGAGAGTCTTATGCAAGACACATGGATGCATGTGACTGTATGTCACAAGAGGTCAGCTGGACTGAGGTGAGACATAAATCAAGGAAACAGAGAAATTAAATCTGTTGTTATGAAAAGATCCTAAATATTACAGCTCTCGAGAAAACAGCTGCAGCAAACAAGAGGCAGAGAGCAGCATGGTTTCTTAACAGATCAGGGATTTTGTGAACCTTTTGTATGACTTAAATCTAAATGTGTATTTTCTCTTTATGCAGGTCCAGTTTTTTATAGAGACAGAAAAGCAATGCTGAGCACATAAACCTGCTTTTTCAAGCCTTGTCAACAGATGGAAGGAGGCTAAGAAACACGCAGCATCAGGAAAGACACAGTCCCTTAAAACTCACACGGTTTCTACCCGTAAGTGTTAGCCTCAAACAAAGTATTTATGTGGTTTAGTTAGCAGCAGCTTCTGCAACAGAACTGCCAGTTTCTTTCCTGACAACATGGAAGAAAAATCAAGGTACCACAAGGTCACTGCATGCAGACAGAACTAGCTTTGGGAAACTTATTTAATCTCTTAGTTTCTTATACTTTGTCAGATGGTTCAAGGCAGAACTGAACCTCCCCAGGCACACTGGGCCCTGGCAGTGCCTGTGCTCACTCAGCTTAGAGCTCTGGCTGACTCCTTCCACCAGATCAATGCCACCTTCCAGGGAAATGGCTTCAGACTGTGGAAGTGTCAGGCAGAGGCCATAGGTGACTCCCTGCAGACTGATGCCATCAGTCATAACCGTGATCACAATCTTGTGTAAAACCAGGCTAAGGAACACTTTGGTGTAGTTCACAGAATTTGCTTAGATCTGAGATATCCATGAGAGAAGTGCAACACTTCATTGAGCAAAAAGCAGCTAAATGACACACTACCCAAGACCACAAGGAAACAAAAAAGTCCCAACCAACCACCTCTTGTGAGGAGGCACAATCAGACCTGCGTGGCCTGTTCTGCCACATTTGCATTAAAAACAACACCAACCCCAAACTGGTGGATTGTGCCTTAAATCACATGTACTACACACACAGCCATTCCCTCCTGCACAGCGCAGCAGTCACCAGAGAAAAGACACCAACTCACAGATTTTTACGAGGATAGAAAAGCACTTTCTGAGGCCATGGGAGAAGGGTGTGGCTTGCAGGGCAGTTATCAGGGCAGGGAACAATACACTGAGCTGACAAGTCCTATCTCTTGCCTTTCATCAGGAAATAGCAGCTAGTTTCCTTATTACCAGCTGCCTGGGCAACTCATTTAAGCTTCTTGGGAAACCAGAAGAACAATTAAGCTGGGAGTGACTCCCTTGAAACACGGAAGATGCAGCACGTGTACTTATCCATATCTGAACAGTCCTCAAATGAGGTTCAAAGAAAGACGACCTTTGATTTCATGCTAATATAGGCAGTGCTCCTTGAATCATCCCATGAGTCAATAATAATAATAATAACACCCTCTAGCACAATAAAGGACAGTGTTAAAGACAAACTAACACAAAGATGGGCCCATTTAACAGGTTCACATTGGTTTTACCACAGCTGAACATCACTAGCAGTGAATAGGCTGGGTGACTTCACTTGAAATTCAGCAATAATCAGCTTTTTTTTGACCAAAATCCCACTTTGCTCAATTCTTGACACATGCCGGGAAGCCTGCGGCAGATTGCTGGGCTCTTCCTGTTTGCTTCTACCTGGAAGGTGATACAGCCAGACATCCTTTGGACATTTGCTGAGTTTCTGCATTTGAGCTCCTTTCACTCTTTTGAGAGCTAACCCGTGTTGTTACAGCCTCCCCCATTCACACCACTTCCAAACCAGTGTTTTGCTCCTTTTATGAAAGCTGAGTGGATGCATCAATAAGCAAGTGAACAGATAAAGAGGCATTTCATGCCCTCAATTAGAGACTTGAATTGGGAAAGTCGCAGCCCTCTCAGAGTTTTTCAGGATAATCCTTTTAAAAATGAGTTTGTAAGAGCATATGCAAATATTTACCCTCAGTCTAGTTCTGAGAGCATTAGCAGGGTGTTTCACAGGGAAGGCAATTGCTTCACTCCCTGTTTCCTGAAGAGGTTACTGCATCCACCAAGGCTCCTGCAATTAAACCCTCACCTGGACCAGCCTGCTCTCAGCAAGCAGGAACAGCCCAGCAAGGAAACCCACCTTGGCTCTTGCTCTCCCACTTTCCCATTCCACTTAGTGCTGTGGCCTGGAGAAAGCTGGGCTAAAGGCTTTTTATCTTTTTGCCCTCCAAAAAATAATAAAAAACTCCCAAACAAATTCACAGAAAAAAAACCCTAGAATTTTAAATCTCAGAAGAGCAGTTTCAATTACCTTACATATAATTACATTCAACCTTTTAACTGCTGATTACTAAGTATTTTTTAACCATGTGCTTCAAAGAAAACTGAATTACTTTCACCTCCAAGGAACACACCCAATCACCACTTCTACACCTGCAATCAATTTTGTTCACTAATATTTATATTTGTGCTTGATTATCAGGGAAACATCCACAGCATTTGTGCTTGCAATTAGCACTGCCTGCAGTGAGAGGGAGGCTGGTTCTAACAAATTAAATAACAAAACCCAAAAGCACAGCAGGGAAGGACTTTCTGGAACAGCATTAAGCCATCTTCAAGTATTAATGACAAGTATCTTTTAGCATGAACAGGCAGCTGGGTGATTTCAGAGGGAGCTGCTTTAGCAAGAAACGCAGCGTGACGCGCAGAGACAGGAGCAGGAGGCGTCCCCATGGTTTTGAAGGAGCCAAAGGAAATGTGGAACTGGGTGACTCGATCTGACATGGCCTGTGCCAGGCTCTGGGCTCGGCCTGGCCCAGACCAGCGTGACCTTTTGAGCTTTGCTTACACCTACACACTTCTTGACACTTCGATCTCACACGGCCTTCGGAGTATGCTGTTGATGAGGCACAATTCAGAGGTCAGGGAACTGCACGTAGAGAATTAGGAGGATTAGCTGCAATCCTACCTGACCTCAGCTCTTATGTGCTTCTCCAAATTGTCAGGCTGGCAGAGCCAACTTTCTGCTCTGCTTCCTATTCACTTGTGAAAGCAAAGATTTAGCTATGTTCCACAGAGGATGAGACTTAAAAAAAAAAAAAAAAAAATCACCTCAAAGTCATCTTTAATGTTTAACCAAACATTAGTTGTTATGAGCCTGTTACTTCTGTGTGATTTTCAGTAATTCCAAGAAAAAAAGCAAAGACACTTTATTTGGTGTCTAAACTGCAAGAAGAATCAGCTAAAACCAGTGATCCATGCTGTATTTCTCTTGCAACAGAGCTCACTTTGGATTTTTCTCTAACAGACATTAGAGTAGGTGACTGACTGCTTCCAATGTGTACCTGAAAATATGTACAACAAAAGGAATCTCTGGATTAAGGGACCAAAATACATATTTGCAGCTAAAGGGTCTTCCTCTGAAGCCACAAAATGTACCTTCTGGATTCACACCCACTGGAGAACACTTGGGGACAAGAAATCTCACAGCCTAACCACCAAGCTCCACATACAGAAATAGAAACAATCCAGCTGAAATAAACACCGGGAAACAAGTTGTTTGTTTGTTTATTTAAGCAAACATAAACCTATCCATTTGCAAATCTCATTAGGTTGGCATAACTTTCGTTTCTATTATTTTTTACCTTTTACCAAGTCTCATTACCTCCCGGGCAGCTGAACAGGTACAAAAAGGTAGAATGACCGGTCCCTTCTTTAAGAGTGTTAGAAAGCTTCAAAATAACAGCATAGCTTGTTGGAATGGACACATACAAACATGAGTTACAGAATGATAGATAGATATATTTCACACTATATGTATGTAAACATATATTGAAGTAGGAGAAAACTTTAAAATTTCTCTAGTTTCAGTAGGCAAGGAGGCATAATTATGAGGAGACTGCTAAAGCATTTAGAAGGGTATAGTTTATTGGCTCAAGCTCTAGGAAGAGGCTGTTGTTTGGTTTTTTTTTTCTTTTTAATTATTGTTACAGTCTCCTCCTTTCAATCTGACAGCATACAGGGACCTCAACATGGCATAAACCTCATTTACTCTCTCGAAAGGCTTTAAGACACTACCAGAACTGTGTGAAGTAAACACCAGCGTCCCCAAGCTGAATGGCAGATTTGAGGAAAAAAAGCTGCCACTAGAACTGGGAAAAGTAGCAAACAGCTGTTTCACTAATCCAAGTACCCTGAAGACAAATGAAACAATCAGCTATGAATTGCTGACGTGATCTCTTGCAAGTGCACAATTAAAATTTCTGTAGACTGGAAAAAGTGAGGTATCAGGGCTATGGTTTTTGAGCATGTATTGTATTAGAACTAGTTCTTTGCTGCATTATGTTCAAAGGCAGTATTTAGGCCAAAAAGTGAACAAGCTACAAGGGTCAAAATTTAAGAAATAACTGTTCATATTTTAAAAATCAACAGGGGCAAATGAATAGCCTCTGTGCTTTTAACTCTCTTGCAGTACCTCCCAGCACTCACTTTTAGGTATTTAAATCTACTCAGCAGCTCTCTTGAGAGAGGTCCGTATTAAAAGCCTCCCCACTCATTCATTAACATTGTTAAAAGTGCTATAGAAGCATACAAAAGAAACATTACAAACCTCACACACGGCTGAGATGACACGTTAAAGAGACGATTCTTACACCGACTGCTGCACTGCCTGACTTCTGAACTCATTTCTGACTAAACTTAAAAACATTTATATGCTGTTGATGTTCAATGAAAACAGTTGGAGATGGATGAGCAAACGGTCAGATGAGAGATACCAAAATGTCAGACAGCCTACCGACTGTTGTTGCCATGAGATCCAACAGTCAACATCAGTCTGATAAGCTATCCGACAGGATGGTATGGCCATGGAGATGTCACGACGGTTGGCAACACAAGAGGACATTCAGGCAGGATTGAACAAAATACGTATTCGCACGCCTCGCTCGAGATCTGCCCTGAGCAGGGAGGAATCTAACCTGGGCAAGAGCTAATCTGCTTTGTGCTCATATGCCACCTTTTGATAACGCTAATCGAAAGTCAAAGTAATTCCTGTTACTAGGATAAAAATAAAATAAAAACAATAGTTCAAAAATTATGAGAGTAGTAACACATACGCAGTAGCAGTGGAATGGATATCTACTTACTAATTAATATTAGTTATGTACATGTACATTACAGCTGGAACACACACTGATTCATAACCTTTGAAAAATACCTGACTTGAAAAGCCTAAGGTTAAGGTTCTCTAAAGTTCTCTGCATCATTGCTGGGTTTGACATCAAATCTGTTTTCAGCTGGAATCTTTACTCTTCCCCCCTCTCTTGTCCTCCTTCATCGCCCCCGGCGCTGCGATGAGTGGCAAACATCTGAGAAGAATTTACGATAACAGTATCACTAGCTATTTAACTTGCCTATTTTAACCAGTGAGCCACACTTCAAGCCAGTGATATGCTTTCTAGTGCCTTCTGCTAAGTAAGAAGTTCTTAAGAAACAAGGAAAAAAAAATAAGAACAAAGGGCTTCAGCACCATTTGTGCAGGAAGGATGAGTAAAGCATGCGATTCATGGGATTAAGGCTTAATAAAGAAACTGAGCATACAAAAGTGGAGAGGAAAAGAAACAGCTTAAAAAGACTGACACAAGAAATTCTGGAATGATCAAAGATGACTTTATAAAGTTTTATCTTAACTTCATTCTAAATATACAGAATAAAAAACGTCAGCTTCAGTCAGCGCTTCGACATCAATCACCTCTGCTAACATCATGAAGTTTAAGAGGGTGGCTTTTCCAACCGAGAGCACGTGCAATGCAATGGGACACTGGAGAATTCAGATGGAATAGCCTTACCATGAGGGACATGCAACAGTTTGTATCCAATCTGTATTCATTTACATACACTTTGATGGTCTTGAAAGTTAATGGAAAAAAAGCAAAACAGCCACCCTTCAAAATAAAAAAAAAAAAAGTTACCCTTAGGTCAGTCTGAAGTTAAATCAGGAAATGGAGAGCATCAAATCATCATTTTTGGAAGTAATCCGGATGGACAACATTTGTGTTAAACACCATTTAACATCACATTGTCCATCCTGTATAATACAACTCAGACTTATAAAGCATTTATACCTTACCTTAACATTTATAAGTTTGTCAATGAAACGTCTGCTCTAATATCCAAATTACTTTCAAAATTAAATAAAAACTTTGTTAGAGTTGAAAATTATGTTAAAAAGTTTTCCCCCGTTTTGAATAATGCTGATTTTTAAACATATGGAAAGATGTGTCACTTTTCGTCTCTGCTAAAACCCATTTCCAAGGTGTTTTTTTTTTTTTCCCCAAGCTCATTTGGTTTTTTCTTCAGAGTACATCTTCTGCTGCAGTCGTTTGGCATAGCTTTGGGCCGTGGAGTTGATTATAGATACGATAAAATAACAAACCATGACAATCACCAATTTTTCAAACATCCAGGATAGCCAGTTTTCCCCCTGAAGAGACAAAACACAAGGAGGAAAACGCAGGTTAGTGGACGGCACAATGGAGAATTCTCCATTTTCTGGGTGAAAGGGAAGAGCCTGACCGCTTTTTGTTATGTAATTTATCAAATCAAAAACAGGAACCAAGTGCAGGCTGACAGGATTCCTGCAGGTCCCTCTGTAAAGCTGACTTTAGTCCCTTGAAAGACAATGCGGGAGGGCTTGCCAAATCCACTGCGGGGCAGATGATGAATCCTTGATCGTTACTAGTGTGCTAGTGAAGAGATTTATTATTCCTAGTATTGTTTTGTCTGTGCTAACAATTCATAGAGTTCAGAATTAGCAACCCCTGACTGTCATTCCCTGTCACGTTCATTGCAAAGAAAACAATAAGGTCATTGGTTAACAATGGGGTGGGTTTTTTTCCTAAACTACATAGTGTGTTATCTTCCAGTTAGTGCCCGATTCTTCTGGTGTCACTAGAAGTTAACGCGATGACCTCGGCAGTCCCACTTCCAGCGTTTTCCACGGCTACTCTCAACTTGTATTTTCTTTTTGTCGAAGGAGGGCAGCAATGCACTGCACAAAAATTACTTCCATGTGCCTAAAAGGAATCTGCATATTCAGTTATTCCAGCCTGATCCTCCCCAATTCAGTCTCTTTTGTGGTAAGAAATGGGCAAAGAAACATACCGAAAAGCTACAAGTATTACATGTGAAATGTGAGTTAGATTGATGGATTGTATCTAAAAATGCCTTGGTATCCTAAGGAATTTCATCTCAAAGTTGCTCCAGCCCCACTGCAAATTCAGTATATGTTTTATAAATATTTTTTTTTTTTGATGAAAGGGCACTTCTGCTCCTTTGTAGGACAACTGATGCTGCACACAGTTTGTTACCATTTCACATGTAAATGCGATTTTTTTTCTACTTAGATTTTTCTTTCAAACTAGGCATGCTAATATAGAGGCAAGACGTGCCATTGACCTTACTTCTTTATTCTGTTTTCTTTATTCTCAAAGAGGTTTAAGTCCAGTTGCATACTATTACAGTATTATTTTTAATTCCCAGGTTGGTTTTAAAATGAGATTTTTATCTGTGCCCCGGGCCACTGCGAGTCTTTGAAAATCAGAATCGAGTTACACTGGTAAACCTGATGAGTCGAAAGACAGCTAGAGAAGGGAAAAATTAATCGGGGAGGGAGGCAGAGAGGTACTTACCTGTGGCATGCCACTGTCTGATTTGTGGTGAAGTTTTATCCTCTGAGCTTCCAAATATTCTTGAAATGGCTTCTGAAGAGAAGGACCTATACTTGGAATAGCACTGATGCAAAGTTCATCCCAGAGAACAAGGCAAAACAGGGGAGAAAAAAAACAAAAACAAAAAAACAAAAAACATTTTTTTTTTCCAACTTACCACTTTGACCCAAACAGAACAAAGTTCAGACTGAGCTACAGCTCAGAAGGGCATTGCTACTTGAGAAAATAGATAACCGCGAAATAAAGTGTATTTCATCTTTTTATCTGATACTTTTGAAAGGGACATATATTTCCCCAGATCCTCAAAAAAGTGCTTAAAAATAAAAATATTTCAGAGCAGACCAGTGACAAAATACACTGCTGGTAGCACAGACAGAAGCTGTGAGCTTGGAGCATTTCCTTCAAGCCAGGGAGAAGCCAGCTGAGGCTGTGCACTGGTGCAGTGCTGAGAATCAAATGAATGACTTCTCAGAAGTCCCCACATTTATCACCAGCAGTTCCTGTAAGAACTGGTTTGAACCGATTAATAAGGAAATGACTTGTGCTTGTGTCATCCCTCAGTTAAAAAAGAAACTGCTCGCCCTATGACTTGCCCCTATCTTCTCAAAGAAGACGGCCCCTTTCTCAAACTAAGTCCTTATTAGGACAATCTGTGCGTCATCCTTACCCAAAAAGAATGCATTAGCAAATTCTGCAGGCGCCTCCCACCAGTCAGTGATTAACAAAGGAACAAAGAAGGAACTATGAACCCTGTTCTGAATCATGCCATGGTTTATGGCAGATGACTTGCACAAAAGCTACAATACGTTACTAAACACCTTGTTCTTACATTAAGGTTATAAAGATCCCGGGTCCGTTTTTGGAAGAACCCTCTCCCACCTCTCCCACCAGGTGTTGGCACGGGACAGCCTCCAACTTCCATTCTGCAAATAACCACAGCCTTGTCCAGGCTTCCACCACAGACATCCCAGGTAACTCCCCCTTAAATCCATACACCGTGCTGCTGTTTAGCAGGAGGTCCAAGGAGCTTTAATAATTGTCATCACGCTTTAAAATAAAAAATACTTAACTACCAGACAGCTGAAACTGCTGCTAGCAACACCACCAGCTGAGCTGGTGTGGTGAGAACACAAGCACAACCCGAAGGCTCCCAAGGTCTGATCCACATACAAACACCAACACTCCAAATTCCAGCCGCAGGAGAGTTCCCATTACTGACAAACACCATTTTAATTTGAAATAGAACCCAGATTAATTTTTTATAAATTTATTTTAAAGAAATTAAATACGATCTTCCACACTAAAAGTCACCTAAATTTCAACGCCTCGGTTTGGTTCTTTACACTTCTACTTCAGGGAGGAATCAGACAGCAAGATCCACATAGACAGTTTAACAAACTGATCATCTCCTCTCCGAATGACTGCGGGAAGGCTGGAGCTTCAAAATTATTTTCCCCAGTCTCCTGATTTGACACAATATTCTCTTTTCCAGGCTAAAGCCCAATTAAAAGCCAGCAGCTTTCTAATCTTAAAAAATTCATTAAAATGCACAAACCAAAGAAACAAAGTAGCTCACTCCCCTCTAGTAAATCTATTTCCTTCAATAGCCAGGGGCAAATAATTTTTCTGAACATATTCAGAAGAAAAAGATTGCTTCCCTCATGATTCACCATCACGATGATACAAATGGGTGAGTAAATTCTGTGCCTGGACTGGTAAAATTTCAGGAAAAAAAAAAAGCAGAGACTAAAGCACATCTATTACACATTTTACACAGGAGTCTGAGAACTTCTACAAATGATTTCCAGTTTTTCGGAACCGTCCCTCACGAAGCTGACTCTTCGCGGTAAAAATTCTCCTAATGACTCGCCGATCAGTACGAGTCACAGTTTTAAAAATGAGTTACATTTTGAGGTTTCTTTTCTTTTTCGGGTGACATTTGGGAAGCCCAGCAAGCCTCCTGAAAGGTAATTATTTACTTTTAAACTTCTGCATGATTATGAAATGAGGAATATTTAAATTATGAGAGATGAATGATTAACAGAATGGCTGTTCAAATCCCTCCATGTTTTTTTCTGAAAACTGAACTAAGTCAATGCCCAATTAGCATTAAACAACAAGAACAAAGACATGAAATCCAAGTTCACGCAGCCTGAAGAGATCCTGATGCATCAACACTGTATTTCAAAATTTTTTTCACTAAAAGTATTGAGCTTTTTTCTTTTGTGAGCATGACTAAGAATTAAGTGCACAACATTCATTTTATTAGAGCTGGTTTGAAGAACTAAGATCCTGAATGTGAGGAGCTTGGCTTCAAAAAGTCTCCAATATTTTGCACATTCTCAGACACTTTTAATACTGAAAAAAGGGCATAAATTTAAATAGGGAGCAAAATGAAACAAGGTAACATCTAGAAAAATCACAAATCCAGAGTACTAGGAATAAAATTCTTGAAATCCCATTTCAGGACAGTGTCGGTTACTTGTACTCTTTTGACAAAATTCAATCATTTAATCAACCAGCTAACACGTGTCACCTCCTATCCAAAGTGTAGACATAATTTTAGATCTAAAAGTCTTAAAAATCAGTTTTCATTTCATTTAATTACAAACGAGTGCTATCTCCCTGCACACCTCCTGAAGTTCAACTCACTAACCCCGTTCTTACCCAAGGAGGAAGGGGAAGACAGCATAAATTTTCAGGGATTACACTCCAAGCAGAGGCAGGTACACAGGCAGGAGGAAGAGATTTGCATCATAATTCTGCACCACTTAGCAATGAATTTCAGATACACCTTCAAAAGGCTGCTGCACTTTCAGGAGTCTAGCTGCAAACCACAAGTGTATTTACACATCCGACTTAAGAAGGGAAGATGCTAGAAGATAACCCTGTTTGTAGAATAATCTAAAAGCAATTCCCTGCATTTTCCTTTGAGAATCAAGCCTATTGTCTTTCAAATAACGAATATGAAAGGATCAGAAAATAAAAGGGCCATAGTGCACAACAGAACTCAGCTCACCCACACTTTGTAGTCTCTATCTGCCAAACCAAAACACACGAAACCCCACAAACACACAACCTGCTCTCCCTTCTTAAAATACAGGCCTTGGTGAGCTGCATAAAGGCTTCATTTTTTTTTTTTTTTTCAAAAAAGTCATTCACTAGAAGTTATCTATCAAAATAAGCAATGAAATACATTTCAGTAGTTAATGTCGTTGTTGTTAATGAATTTGCAGTTAATCAGCAACAAGGATGCACTCCTTGCAGGAGAGGTGCTGTTTCTTGTGTATTCTCTCCTTTCAACAAAACTTACTTGAAAAGCAGAGACCAGCTATATTTCAACCATGAAACTGAGCAAAAAGTGCTTTGGATTGATTTTTTTTTTTTCCCCCCCAGGAAAAACAACCTCGAAGAAATTTTGATTCAAGAGAAATTTTAGAAACAGCTAACACTAAACACCATCTTTTGTTTTAAGTCATTCTGATTCTCTGCTAAAATTGAATTTTTCACAAAGAACTGAAACTGAAAACACAATTCCAATAAATTGTATTAGCCTTTAAAATCATAAAATTTCTGTAAAAAACATTACTTGCAGTCTAATACTACAACATAAACATCCATTAAGAATTTTACTTCACTGAACAAAACACTGTTGAAGTGTTTTCAGAAGTATTACCTCATATTTGTAATTAAACAAATGCATCTTTTTTTTTTTATTTAAGAGCTACGATTTCTATCCAAATGAAAAATTATATAGCTTTTTTCCCCAACAAATAAAACAGAATTTCAAATCCATTTGAAACACCACACTGCAGAGATTCAGCAAAGTTTTTTCAGTTTTAAAAAGGTTAAAAATTACACCAACTATGTGCAGATTCTGACATGATGACTCCAAAAAACTTCTATTCCAGTTAGAGAAAAATTGTGTTTCTTAAAACACACTTTACAATTTCTTGGTTTGCTTTTCCAAGAACGACTGTCAAAAGTTGATCCTCAAATGCATGTCACTAGTCATGAAGTGGTAGGGAAGATTTTTGGGGAAATTATCTTTTTAACAGGATCTTTGGAACCACGGGTGGGAGTTTTCTCAAAGGGATGTGGATGAAGCATCAGACCGAGGGTGGGGGGAATATTTTCCCTATGCCAGTTGAACAAAAACTAGAAAGCTATTCAATACTCCAGTCAACTGCGTTTTTAAATTCTATTTAAAACCATTTAATCATGATATTTTCACTTCTGAAAGGTATGTATCTCAAGATATTTAAGAGCATGATAGATTACTCCTGAGTTATTGAAATTTCATAATTTATGCTTTTAATTTGTGAACACTGATAATTACAAGCTGTGCTAAATGCTGAAGTACAGTTCTCCATCAAATGCTGCATTTTGGTACCACTGCACTAACATTTCACCAAAAAAAAAAAATTAAAATTTATCAGTCCAAGATTTAGCATATAAAGTTCCTATCTTATAAAAACACATGGGTATATTTGCCTACTTTTCCGGAGAGAAATGTTAGAATTAGCCAGTATTTTCAAGAAACACTCAAGCTGTCCTTTTAGACCTGCATTTTAGGAACATTAATACAGTGGGGTTTTTACTGCTAATTAAAGTCTCTCATTTGTAAGAGGCCTCTAACAGCAAGGGATGATTAAGCAGCTGATTAACTCTAAGCAGTTCTTAAACTCCATTTATTCTGATGGAAATTAAAAATGTAAATAAGAACTCCAGCGGCATTCAGTTCTGAATTTTACACTCTATTCAGCAGCTCATATGCGCAACGGGAATCAGGTCCCCTAATTGTGATGATCAAGAAACATTAAGTACCACAGGTTTAAAACCTTGGAAGTCTTATTTTATCATGGAAATAATAATCTGAAGGGAAACGAGAACCACAATAATCGAATAGATGGTGCAAACAAGCTGCCAGGCTCCCAGGCTGAAACACACCGAAGCCCTGCTTGGAAAGGTGATGCAATAGTGAGTCACAACCCCATTTTATGGATGATTTCTCTAATATCCACAGCTGTTAATTTGGAAAAACCGTTGAACTGTTAACACGGG